AGATCCCCAGTCCAACCCCTGCCCCTGCACAGACACCCCAACACTGCACCCTGTGCCTGAGAGCATTGGCCAAACACTCCTGGAGCTCTGTCAGCCTTGGGGCTGTGCCCACTGCCCTGGGGAGCTGTTCAGTGCCCAACTAATTATTAATCAGATCACCACTTCCTTATGCAAATGTCTGAACCTCAAGGCTTAGTAGCTAGAGGGATTTTGTGGTAGTTCCAAGGACAACCTGAGCTCTGTGGACTTGCATCAGCAACCTTTGAGACTCATCTTCCAACACACAGTGTTCAGGGGATGGACAGAGCTGTAGTTGCTCTGCAGTGGTGCAGAGAGGCTGTTCCTGTGGCAAAGGGAAGCACTTTACTCCTCAGTGGAGGATGCTACAGATGTGCCAAACATGACCATCAGACTCATCTTCCAAAATACAATGTTCAGGGGATGGTCAGTGCTAACCAGTTAGCTTTTCTGAGGAATTAATATTGCTTTAATTGCTCTGTAGTGGTGCAAAGAGGCTGTTCCTGTGGCAAGGGAAGCTCTTTGATCCTCAATGGAGGATGCTACAGACATGCCAAGCATGACCATCTCCCTGTGTCTCTTCCCTTGCCTAACACTCACCTTAAAAGACTGTACAAATGTCCAGAGCAAGATGCGGATTGTGTACCCCTGGCGAAGGAGCTTGATAAGTCTTGCTGCCCTGAAGAGCCTCAGGAAGCTGAGGTTGATGAAGTTGTCCTGTGGAAAGTAAAGGTTTTGTGTCCTTCAGAAATTAACGCGCTTAGAAACCACAGCCCGCAAAAAAGAAATTAAAATTACCAGCTTCACGATCTAAGCAGCAAATCGGCCACCAGAAAACCTTCCAAAAGAAACATTCGTCAGTGCAGATCACTCCACATGCAGCAAGTATGAGAAAATCCCTCTCCACAAGAGCCCTCCCCTCTGCTACTGGGTCAATGATAAAAAAGGCCCTTTCACACTGTCCAGGGAGGTGTGATTTGCTTTGAGTAAGGCAGATTTTCTCCCCCTAAGGACTCAGGGAGAGGGAATAGTGCCCAATTTTCATTTGGTGAAGAATGAAGTGGTTTGGAAGTCTTGGTCAGCTGAATTGTACAATGGATTGAAGTTAAGCCAAGACAGTTGCAGAGGACAGCGTATACAGCCTCATTGTCCAGTGAAGATTAGAACATCCTTGAAGGAATGAGGAGGTTTTCCAACCTGAAGGTTTTAAAGGTTTATACAACATGGAACTGGACAGGTTCATCAAGGAGAAATGGCACCAGCAAGACTGATTTGGAAGATGGATCAATGGCAGCGAGTCAATTGGGGAGGTTGAGTGTTCAACAGCAGGACGAGGCCTTAGGAACCTGCTGGTTTTTCAAATTAGCATTCAATGTGCCTTTGTAGGTGGATCAAAGAACTGCTGAGACAGATTGTGATTTCCATTTGGTTTGTAGGATTCTCCCCACCCCACCTCCCATTTTTTTGGTCTTTCCTTCAGGGAAAAGAGGATTCTTGCCCCAATGAGCTAATCTAGAGAGGGTTCTTTCCAAAACAAAACATGCAAAAGCCAGATCCCTCTTGCCCTCCTATTTTAAGGAGATGAAAAATATTCCCCCTTTCCATACTGATACCAATTCACTTAGGTGTGAATCTCTGTTCACAGTCACTTATTTGACTGAGTGAGCTAAAGAGAGCAAACATCCCACTTTAAACTAGCAAGCACTGAAGCAGAAAATGCAATCATAAGGAGCTCTTGTTGGTAAAGATGAGCAAAAATAGTATTTCCCTTGTATTATTGTTTTACCAGAAGACACCCAGTCATAGTGAACTGACCCATGTTTCTTGCTCATTTGGCTACAGAGCTCATGCTGAAATTGGGGGGCTTGTTGGATCTATTCGTTTCTTTTAATGCCAGCTCAGTTTTGGGGCCATTAGCATTGCATTCCACCAATCCCATCAAAGAGTTCAAGAAATCAGTCTCAGGCATGCACTCGGTTTCTCTCATGTTAAAACCACAAGCAGCTCAGAGTTAGGCACAGACTGTATATCAGACTCATCTTCAAATAAAGAGAAAAGAGAAAAGCACAAGGTATGTTCAATGAAAGAGCAGACAACACTGAGCTCATTCAAGTCAGCAGCAGAATTCAGCTCGGGCAGGCAAAGCACAAGCAAGGGATTCCCCTGGGTTGTGCAAGGGCAGTAAAACAGGCACTGACACTTTGGTCTCTCAGCATCAGCTTTGGGTTTGTTTTGCACATTGCTTACCTTCCCTTCACAACCACCAGCTGAACTCACCTTAGCAGGTCCTGTAAGACCCATGGGGCAGAGCTGCACCTCAGCTGGATAACAGGGTGCCAGCACTAATCTGGTCCTTGTCACCCTGTGCCAGCTGTGGGGCTGATACCCTCCACAGAGCAGGTCTCAGCACAGGGCAGAGGTGTAACCCAGAGCCCATTTTAAACATGGAAATCCTCCTCACCAGTGTGAACTGGATCAGACCTTATGTGTAGTGTTGACAGGCCTGAAACTCTGACAAATGTTTAACTTCAGAGCACTGCTCAGGTCAGATCTTTGCCATGCACAAGCTTAACACTCCGAGGAGGAGCAGGTGCACAGGCAGTGCCTGCAGGATCCATCTCAGACTGTGACCCTGCCAACCTCCCTCTTTCCACACTGTTGCAGCTTAACAGCAAGAATATTGTCTTGCTCAGACTTTGCTATAACCTCATAATCACAGCTGACAGGATGCTTAACATCTGCTTTGGGCCAGGCTGCTGCAAGGCCATGCTGAGCACAGGCTACCCAGGGCTACCTGGGGCTCAAAGCTCTGCAGGTGTGTCTATAACACATTCCCTAGGATTTGGAGGGACAAATCCTGAGCCCCAAACCCTTCCTAATTAACTCCTGCACTGCCACCTCCCCAGTGACAGCTTGAGGGAATCACTCACAACCCAGGAAAATCCCCCATCACCCACATACTCCGACGGCTCGAAGGAGGTTCTCTGCACTGCTCGTAGGGAGGCAAAATTACACACGCTGGTGATGGATGGAAGGGCTCCACGTGTGTAACCCTCAGCACATCAGGTAGAAAACCCATCCTTCGACCCCTCAACTCTCCAGGCAGGAATCAGAACCACATGCAGCTAAAGGGGAAACTCCACATTGCAATATTTCTTGGGTATAACAGTGTTTTAGAGCAATTCTCCTCCCGCTTAGCCACCTCTGGAACATGATCATATGGATTATCAAGGTGATTCTTTCCAGGTTTTTGTTCACCTTCCTGTTGCACAGATGCTCACAAGAGAGACCAGAGATTTATGATCCACCTGAGGACTAGCAGGACCCCCTGGCCTGGCACTGCTCTCCTAAAAGAGGAAGGTACTGAGGACACCCAGTCACCAGTCAGGGCATGGCTATCTGGGCATGGCTGGGCAACTGCTTCCTGCAACCTGAACATGACCAGAGCTCAGATGAGGAATTCATCCCTGAAAGAAACTGCAAAGCAGGAGAGAAATAGATAAATAAGTGGCCTTGACAGCTGTCCCACCATGGGCAACCTGGGCTTTCACCCTTTCTTAGGGTGTTTTCATAGAATCACAGACTGGGTTGGGTGGGAAGGAACTTCAAATATCATCTTGTTCCACCCTCGTGCCATGGGCAGGGACACCTTCCACCAGCCCAGGTTGCTTCAAGTCCAACCTGGCCTGGAACACTCTCAGGGTTGGGGCAGCCACAGCTGCTCTGGGCAACCTGTGCCCGTGTCTCAGCACCCTCAATTAAAGAATTTCTTCCTAATATCTAACCTAAACCTACTCTCCGTCAGTTTAAAGTCACCACATGCCTTATCCAAAGTCCCTCTCCAGCTCCCCTGGAGCCCATTTAGGTACTGGAAAGGACTCTAAGGTCTCCCTGGAGACTTCTCTTCTCCAGGCTGAACACCCCCAGCTCTCCCAGCCTGGCTCCATGGCACAGGGGCTCCAGCCCTTGGAGCATCTCCATGGTCTCCTCTGGACTTGCTCCAGCAGCTCCATGTCCTTCTTCTGTTGAGGCCCCAGAGTTTTCCATACTGAAAGCAGAAAAACCATGAAGTACAGGAGTACAGCCATTCCCTGGAGCTGTTCCTCCAGCACTTTGAGCAGCAGAGTGGTTTCTTGCCCAGCACAGGAGCTGTGCCCACTGTCCTCAGGGATGCAGAAAGAGCTGTGGGAAGAGGCATCTGACCAAGCCAAAAATGGGATCATTCAGGAAGCTTTAGCACTTCTCTTCATCTGTCATCAAGAAGAATTAACTTATTCTGCTAAGGAACTCCTGCTGAGGAAATGGCCATGTTCCCATTTAAATGTCCATGGCATTGCCAGCACTGAAGACGTGTTCCTGAACCTTGCACAGGGTCTTGGCTTCTTCTGAAGCTTGGGGAAATCATTGCTGATTTTAAGAGGCTGAAGATTTTTCCCTCACTTGCCCATGTCTTGAGGACTCTGCCATTACATATGTATCATTATTAGTCCTTCCATCCTGAGCCAGGAATGCTGGAAAAATGATTTTGTTTGTGATGCCCAGATATCTCCTCATTCCCTACTTCACAGAATCACAGAATGTTCTGAGCTGGAAGGGACCCCCAAGGATCATCAGTCCAACTCCTGTCCCTGCACAGGACACCCCAACACTGCACCCTGTGCCTGAGAGCATTGGCCAAACACTCCTGGAGCTCTGTCAGCCTTGGGGCTGTGCCCACTGCCCTGGGGAGCTGTTCAGTGCCCAAACACCTCTGGGGAAAGAACCTTTACCTAATATCCACATAAACCTCCCCTGACACAGTTCCAGCCCTTCCCTCAGGTTCTGTCACTGCTCACCAGAGAGCAGAGAGAAGTACCTGTCCCTCTGCTTCCCCTCACAAGGAAGCTGCAGACTTCTATGAGGTCTCCACTCAGTCTCTTCTTCTCCAAGCTCCCTTTCAACTTTGGTGCTCCTGCTGTACCAGTGCAGTCTCCAATCACCACCACTGGAAGGAAGAAGGTAGCTCCAGAGGACAACATGGTGCTCCAAAGGCCTCACTTGGATGCCAAGTGAGACCTGTTTCTATGACCATAGTGACTCCAATGCTAACAAACTGCAGGGTAGACATTTAAATCTTTAACCTGGACAGCCAAAAGGCCAAAATTTAGTCAGATGGAGATAAACTGATTTTTCCCAGCACATTTTCATAGGCACAGCTGATGCCACAGCACTTTTCTGTTCACCTGGGCCAGGGGTGCAACAGACAACCCTCACTGCTCCCACACACCTGTAGCAGTTCCAGCCACCACAGAGGATTCCCTTCTTGGGTTGCACTAGACAAACTTTTAACTTACACATTCACTTTCCTTTTTGCTTCTTCCTAGCAGTTCCAGGATTGCACTAGACAAACTTTTAACTTGCACACTCACTTTCCTTTTTGCTTCTTCCTAGCAGAAAATCCCCCTTGTGACCCTCCATGGCCATCCATGGAGCTTAAGTGCAGCCTGGCATGAGGATTCACTCTGATTTCTTTCTTAACAGCAACTGTGCAACAGGAAATAGTGATGTTAACACAGATCCAAGAGCTGTTGTCAGGTAGCTAAGCAAGTATTTTGGATAACCTTATGGTCTCATTTCTGTTACTAACCATAATCAAGATAATTTAGAATGGAAAAAAAATGTATTTTCGATTGCATTTTTCTTTATTCATTGTCTTTTGTCATTTGTTTGGTCTTTTT